GCCCGGCCCCGCCGAGCCCCCGCGACCCCCGGCCCGCCGCCCTCAGGGGTCCCGGTGCCCTCGCCCCGGTTTTGGGAAGGGGTCCCAGTGACCCCGCTTCTGTGTGGGATCCCCCCGCCCCGGTTTTGGGAAGGGGTCTCGGTGACCCCGCTTCGGTGTGGGATCCCCCCGCCCCGGTTTTGGGAAGGGGTCTCGGTGACCCCGCTTCGGTGTGGGGTCCTCCCGCCCCGGTTTTGGGAGGGGGTCCCGGTGACCCCGCTTCGGTGTGGGGTCACCTCGCCCCGGTTTTGGGAGGGGGTCTCGGTGACCCCGCTTCAGTGTGGGGTCCCCCCGCCCCGGTTTTGGGAAGGGGTCCCGGTGACCCCGCTTCGATCTGGGGTCACCCCCGCCCCGGTTTTGGGAGGAGGTCCCGGTGACCCCGCTTCGGTGTAGGGTCACCCCGCCCCGGTTTTGGGAGGGGTCCCGGTGACTCCGCTTCGATCTGGGGTACCCCCGCCCCGGTTTTGGGAGGGGTCCCCGTGACCCCGCTTCGATGTGGGGTCACCCCACCCCGGTTTTGGGAAGGGGTCTCGGTGACCCCGCTTCGGTCTGGGGTCACCCCCGCCCCGGTTTTGGGAGGGGGTCCCGGTGACCCCGCTTCGGTGTGGAGTCACCCCGCCCCGGTTTTGGGAGGGGTCCCGGTGACGCCGCTTCGGTGTGGGGTCCCCCCGCCCCGGTTTTGGGAGGGGGTCCCGGTGCCCCCGCTTCGGTGTGGGGTCCTCCCGCCCCGGTTTTGGGAGGGGGTCCCGGTCTCCCCGGCCGGGTCTGGGGTCACCCCCACGGCGCCCTCTGCGCTCCTCCACACGAGGGGTTCTCAGAAATGCGGAGTTTATTTTGTGTTGAAATTTCCGAGCTGCTTTGTGGTTACCGGGCATTCTTGCTGTGATTTATACATTTGCTGGAGTGTTCCTGGTCGTTTTTCTAAGCTCGAGAGTGGAGGAGCGTGGAGTGGGCAGGAGTATTATCGGAGTGTTGTAGCAATGCAGCTTTTCAGAGGATCACGGAGTTACTGAGGTTGGRAAAACCCTCYGGGATCATCAATTCCAAGCTGATCCCACATCCACTCATTCCTTGGACACCCAAATCTCCCTGGGAGCCCCTTTCCATGAGGAAATTCCCGCTGATGTCCACCCTGAGCCTCCCCTGGCCCAGCCTGAGGCTGTTCCCTCTCCTCCTGTCCCTGTTCCTGGGATCAGATCCCAAATCCCCCCCTCCTGTCACGGAGTTGTGCAGAGCCAGAAGATCGCACACACCACTCGATTTTTAATATTTTATTCATTTAATGAGGGAAATAAATACACCTCCAACATCCCATTCAAGAGTCCTCATATTCTGAAACTCATCCGAGTGTGGGGGGCCTCCTTTTCTCCAGGCTGAGCACTTTGGGTTCAGGGGGTTTGGGTTCGGGGGATTTGGGTTCGGAGGGTTTGGATGAGGAGCTTTGGGTGACGGGGATTTGGGTCAGGGAGATTTGGGTGAGAGAGATTTGGGTTCGGGGGATTTGGGTAAGGGGGATTTGGGTGAGAGAGATTTGGGTGAAGTGGATTTGGGTGAGGGGGATCTGGGAGTGAGGGGTTTGGGTGAAGGGGAGTTTGGGTTCGGGGTGGGTTGGCTGAGGAGGATTTGGCTGAGGGGGATTTGGGTCCGGGAGGTTTTGGTTTGAGTATTTGGATTCGCAGGATTTGGGCTCGGGGGATTGTGTTCAGGGCGTTTTGGTTTGGGGGCATTTGGGTTCGGGGGATTCAGCTGAGGAGGAGTTGGGTTCACAGGATTTGGGCTCGGGGGATTTGGGTCTTGGAGGTTTGGGCTCGAGGGGTTTGGGTTCGCAGGATTTGGGCTCGGGCGGTTTGGGTTCGCAGGATTTGGGTTCGGGGGGTTTGGGTTCGCAGGATTTGGGTTCGGGGGGTTTGGGTTCGCAGGATTTGGGCTTGGGGGATTGGGTCCGGTAGGTTTGGGTTCGAGGGGTTTGGGTTCGCAGGATCTGGGCTCGGGGGATTTGGGTTCGAGGGATTTGGGTTTGCAGGATTTGGGCTCGGGGGTTTGGGTTCAGGGGGGTTTGGGATCGGGGGACTTGGCTGAGGGGGATTTGGGTTCGGGGAAAGGTTGGCTGAGGGGGATTTGGGTTCGCAAGATTTGGGTCCGGGCGGTGTGGGTTCGGTGGATTTGGGTTCGCAGGGGTTTGGGATCGGGGGACTTGGCTGAGGGGGATTTGGGTTCGGGGNGGGGTTTGGGTGAAGGGGAGTTTGGGTTCGGGGTGTTTGGGTTCGGGGGGATTTGGGTTCGGGGGATTCAGCTGAGAAGGAGTTGGGTTCGCAGGATTTGGGCTCGGGGGATTTGGGTCCGGGAGGTTTCGGCTCAAGGGGTTTGGGTTCGCAGGATTTGGGTTCGGGGGGTTTGGGTTCGCAGGATTTGGGTTCGGGGGGTTTGGGTTCTCAGGATTTGGGCTCGGGGGATTTGGGTTTGAGGGGTTAGGGCTCGCAGGATTTGGGCTCAGGGGTTTGGGTTCGTGGGGGTTTGGGATCGGGGGATTTGGGTTCGGGTTCGGGTTAGGGTTAGGGTTTAGGTTAGGGTTAGGGTTCACAGGATTTGGGCTCGGGGGATTTGGCTTTGAGGGGTTTGGGCTCGCAGGATTTGGGTTTGAGGGGTTTGGGCTCACAGGATTTGGGCTCGGGGGATTTAGGTTTGAGGGGTTTGGGCTCGCAGAATTTGGGCTCGGGGGTTTGGGTCCGGTAGGCTTGGGTTTGAGGGGTTTGGGTTCGCAGGATCTGGGCTCGGCGGTTTGGGTTCGGGAGGGTTTGGCTGAGGGGGATTTGGGCTCGCAGGATTTGGGTTCGGGGGATTTGACTGAGGGGGATTTGGGTCCGGGCGGTTTGGGTCCGGGCGGTTTGGGTTCGGTGGATTTGGGTTCGCAGGATTTGGGCTCGGGGGGGTTTGGGTTCGGTGGATTTGGGTCCGGGCGGTTTGGGTTCGGTGGATTTGGGTTCGCATGATTTAGGCTCGGGGTGGGGTTTGGGTTCGGTGGATTTGGGTTCGCACGATTTGGGTTCGGTGGATTTGGGTCCGGGCGGTTTGGGTTCGCACGATTTGGGTCCGGGCGGTTTGGGTTCGGTGTATTTGGGCTCACACGATTTGGGCTCGGACGTTCACGACCCGCGCTTTCCCTGAGGCACACCGAGCGCCCAAAGCCCGCAGCCCGGGGCTCGCTCGGCACCCGCC